AACACCTGCCATACTAGATGCATCTCGCTTCTTTCCTGTTTTGTAGAACAGTGTGTCTCATTCATCACAAGCAGCGTATCAGGAATAGTCCTGCTTTTATGTGCTACTGCATAAACGGGATTTCACATAGGGATTCGTACGCCGAGTATATTAGCGGTGGCATAGTTCATTATATACGTTGAATTTTACTACTAATCAGGGATCCCTTACGTCTCCGGTGTTTTTACCACCAAGATTTGCACTTTTTAACTCCAAGTAATGTAAGTTAATAAAATAGTAATATGGTGATCGGAAGGTCGGAACTGCATTTGCGGATTTCCGCATGAACCATCCGAGATCATTTGTAGTCAGGTTCTATCTGCGGTAGATGGCTCGGCGGCCGCGATCTTTTGAACGTTGCTCATCTCTGCAAAGATGAGGAAACGACCATTCGCGGATACTTTCAAACGACGGATTCACGTTTTTGTAGAGTGATAGCAGAAGCGGACAAAAGCTATACCCTGCTAAATCTGAGTAAGAACGATACGTGGTAGAGAAGATAAGTATAATCTCCAAATACCATAACTTGAGTAAGAAAGTGTTTTGTGAGCGTTACTGTTCTGCCCTTACGATCTGTGGTGGCAATACAAGATCGAAGGATGCTTATGAAGAACTGTAGGAAATTCATCATGAAAGGAAACATATAGGATAAATGCGCGGTGTGCGTCAGTACAGCGGAATCGGTCCAGCATTATGTCGCAGGATATCCCGTCTTGACTAGCACGAAGTACGTCAAGCAGCACAATAGCGTCGCAAAGATCATACACCAGCAGTTGGCCTTTGAACAAGCCCTCGTATGAGAAACGACGCCGTACTGTCGATATCATCAAGAGAGCGTGTTTGAGATTGATTACTGTACCATCTGTTTCGATTTCCAATCGTGTAGTGGATCACAATCGTCCAGACATTAATCCTGAATCACAAGAATAGGATGGAGGAAATTATGAATGTTGCTGTTCCATTGGACAAAAATGTGCTAAAAACATGGGTGGAGAAAATAAGAAAATAGTAGTTCCTGGCTATCGTTCTGAAGCAGGTATATTACTTGAACAACACCATTGGTTGATTCTGCAAATAGCTTCATTCCGAAATCAATGATAATGAGCCTGGGCCACCTGAAGCACACAGAAAGACTATCAAAAGTATTCTAGCTAACGCTGTTTTGATATTCAGCCGGAAGACTGCGAAGAATAATGGATATTAAAAATTTGTGACTGGTCGCTGCTATATGGCTGTCTGTACCTCCTTGCTGCCGGTAAAATATCTGCTTATGAAATTTTGAAATAAATCAGTAATATGCCGTTGCTGTAGCTATTTGGTCATACAGTTGTTGAGTACACGAAACAACATCGATGGTGAAAATTTCACTGCAAACGTGTTTTGCAGCCACATCATTGGTGTCGTGACGTGTTCCGATAGGGTGTCCGTCCCAGCGTCGCTAATCATAGTCGAATATTTTACTGTTTTGAAATGGATCTGTTTGGAAATAAGTGACAACAGCGTTTTTTTGCCAGAGTCAGATATATTGACAATGAAGCATATCTTGTTCTGCATGCATAAGTCAAACGATCCGCTGCTAGGTCACTACTCTAGAAAATAGCCAGCCGAACAGCATATGTAGGTTTCAGATATTTCTGGACTATTCTGCTCGCGAGACCAGACAGCCTGGCATCTTTCGCAGTGCCTAGGCATCAGCAGGCGGCATCCATAAAATGGAGCCAAGTCCCTTGACGCACTTCCTCGCATT